GTGATAATTGTAAGCAAAGCCACAAGACAGTAAAAACAGTCGTGTTATTTATGTCATATCGTTGTAACAAGTCATCACATTCACGTCATTGGAATTTTTTTTTTTGAAACTTTTATTCAAATCATGAATTACTCCCAATTATAAATTAACTACAGGCTTGATTGAACTTGATTTGCCAGTGAAACCAACCGTGATGTGATTAGACACTCTGATTTCTTCTCCATGAAGTAACAGAACTTTGATAGCTCAGGCACCTAGGAGGGGGGGTCCCTCTTTGTTCTATTTGTGGGAGAGGGGGTCCCAGCTCTAACAGGGTTACCAATAAGCTCAAAGATTAAATGTGCAAACAGAAGTGACCAACATTTGGCTTTCTTAGTAAACAATGTAGGCTTTTTGCTTAGAAATGTGGGAAGGATATTTTAGCTTAATATAATGTAACTGATTTTCCAGGATTGCTGCGGTATCAAGGCTGTGTTCTGTCTGTAATAAAAAGAAATCAAGGTTGTCTTAGTTGGAGTTTCCAAATGTCATAGTGCCAAATGAAATGTTTTGATCCTGACATCTAACAATCGTTAGAATTGTCATTTCAACATATTTCTTAAATTGCTCAAGACATGGCAAAGTTTTCATAACTCTCTTTTTTTGTTCAACTTTGTGTATGTCTAATTCCAGGCGCAATTAGGTTTTTAACAATTCTTTGGGAAACTGCAAAAACAAATGAATTGTCAGTCTAGCCATTTTACTATTTTGGATATTCTGCTGCATTGCTTCTGTGAACTATGAATTTCCTATTCAAAAATGCAGTCTCTGTAATTCCCATAATCCTCCTAGAAAGGTTATACTTTTATGTGCGTAGCTAAAATGGGAACCAGTTTCTACCAAGTATGTTACGGAGTAAAAAAAAGTCAGAGGATCCTGGCATATCTTTTAAATTTATGCGGTAACTGTCTGCTAGTTGACTTGTGAAAATATTGTTAAGATCAACGTTATTATATAAAGGTGTACTTGCATATTTGAGCCATAAATTTGTAACCCGAAATACAGATAAGAAATGTATGTATTTTGATAAGTTTCTGTCGTCTTAGTGTTGTTTGCATATTCAAATTTCTGTATATATCGAATACATATAGTGTGCCCTTTGACCTTTTTCTAAATTGCGCAATCTAAGCTTTAAATATAAGTTCCAAGAGGAACATTTCGAAGAGGCCTGTGGCCTGGTGGTCTAGCTAGCTGACTGCCGGGCCGAGGGACCCCGGTTCAAATCCAGCCGGGGTCCCTGGAAAAGGAATTTTTTTTTTTTTTTTTTTTTTATATACTAAGTTTTTTAACAAAATTGTGCATGCCCACCTGGAATTGAACCCAGGTCCTTGTGCATACCAGTCAGTCTCCTTAACCGCTATGCCACGACACTTTCTTGAAAAAATGTGTTCGTTTCTAAATATTAAACCTTCCATTGTTTGGACTTAGAATATTTTTCAACCGAAAGCTGCACTGAAGATGGCAAGGGGGAACCCTTTGCATTTCTTGGAAGTCTGGGAGGTGATGGGTAGATAGATGGTTGAGGGCTTGGGACTATTGGTCTTGGGGCTCTCAGGATCGGAGAGCAGAGGTACTTGAAAGTTCCAGATTGCCAGTGGGCTTCAAATCCAGCCGGGGTCCCTGGAAAAGGAAGGTTTTTTTTTTTTTTTTTATATACTAAGGGCTACAATAGTAGCCCTTAAAAACATGAGATAAAAAAGGCTTCACAAAATAGGACAAGGAACTTCAGAATATTATTTCATGGACAAACATAAGCATGAAGCAAAGGAAATGCAAGTATTTTTCACAGTAGCTTCATTTTAATATTTACACATGACACTCAATATATATATCATACACTGATCGGAATCAATAATTACACAAACACAGCAACATCAATAAATACATATCTGAAGGCTTCTACCTGCTATATATATGGATTAAAGGAATTTGGAGGGTCACAAAACTGATTGTGAAACTATGACCAAGTTTGGTACTATTCAGCTACGACATGCAACTCGATGGGTAATTGGCACAACATGAGAGACATGCCCCTGCTAATGGGGATTGTAACGTTGGGGACCCTGTTCCTATCATAGAAGGGGGAGCTACATTTTAACTTTTGAATTCCCCCTAGGAGATGACTGTGACATCATGCTCAATGACTGTAAGGTTGATGTCAAAAAGGTTTGAGGGAAGTTATAAGAAAGTCACATTTTCTCACAACGTACAATTTGAAATTTCCAAAAACAGGGTCGTCAGCACAATAAAGAGAGTTACCTTTGGGGTTTTTTTTTGGGGGGGGGGGCTGACCAGTTTTGCAAGATCAAACTGACAATGATATGGAGGGTCTCCAAGTATGCAATCCCCCTAGTAATACATAAGCAAAACTGTAACACTGTTCCTAACTGCTTATCGGATAAGGTTCAACCAAAATTGAAAGTTCAGAGACTGTGATAACGTCAGTCTGCCCTGTTGGAGAGTACACAAATTCTTGGACAGGACCTGCTCATTGCACGTACCAAATGGCTCCACCCTATTGGTCAAAGAGAAATGGTAATGTGCATAATACCTGTCCATGAGCGTAACCAAGGTTAAACGTGTACTCTAGGATGGACCCTTTACACCTGTTCTGATGTGTTAAGTCTCACCAAATACCGGCGATTCACAATAGTGTAACCCCAAGAGTCTGCTACGCATTGTCCAATCACAACGCTCAAATTTGTCGTTTTGCGTATTGCGTCGACAGTGTGATTGGCCAATGCACTGCAGACTCTTGGTGGCGCACTTTTGTGAATCACCCGTATTAGATATTGAGAAAGACCCTAGGTTTCCACTCCATCAAATTTACGTCAGGCAAGAAGCTTGAATCATTGTTTTACATTCTCCATAAACGACCCCCCTACAAAATTCCGTTGTGAAAAGCCTCTTCCTTTGTCTCAGAGCTTATGGAAGAAGGGGCTAAATGTTCTAAGGCACATTACTTATCTTTCCTAAATAAGATCTAACCTACAAGTCATGTTGAACAAAACATCGCTAAATTTTAACAAAACCCAAAGTATTGCACGAGTGCTAAACATGTGAAAATCCATTTTCGGAATGGTTGCGAATACTACGTGTAAGTGGGAACACGATAAAGAACACATCCGTGTACTGATGCTGACATTTCGAAAGAAAATTTGCCATCGTCTCCAAGGACAGGCACACAGACCTGCTGATTTCCTACATTGATTCAAAACTGATGGACGGTTGCTATGGTAACAGGACTGATACACGTGACCATGATGTGGCCTGTAAGGTTCTTTTAGAATTCTCCACGTCACTTTTCATCCTGTTTTAAGCAGCTCTGTTCTAGGCATACCATCCATAAAACTGGGAGCCTTTCTAAATAAAAACGAACACAAGTTGCCAATTTTAAATCTGGTCTGATCACATCTTATCATGACACGGTACACCATTAAAATTTCTACTTGTTCAAATACATCCATACGCTTTGCACTAACAGTGTCACATCTACAAGGACGGAGCTACGCACCTCAGTGAGAAAAACACTTCACCACTGCTAATTGTGTTTCTTTCACACAGCTATCTGGCTGTCATATTGATTCAAATCTTTAACCTAAGCAGAAGTATATACACGATGTCATTTGGCCCCTGGGCGGCTTGTGTGAAATGAAGTCACTTTTTTGCTATTGTTGATGACTTGTCTGGTCTTTCAAAATAATAGTGGTTCATTCTCCTGCATTAACGATGAACAAAGACCGGTCACATGACCTCTGAGAGAGTCACATGGCAGTCCAAAATAGCCACATGACTATACTTGGGCAGTCACATGACAACCAGCTGTCGGTTTCATTGAATACCAATTTTGTCAAAGAAACGGGTCACCATGTTACGATGGAAATGACGTTATTTGCAAGTAAAATACATTTACCTGACCTTCCAAACTTCTGATTTTGCCAAAATGCTGTTTAAAAGTTTCTTAAATATCTTGATTTTTATATACTTAATAATATACATTTGAAACACTTTGTTGAAAACAAATCGAAACCATGAGAAATACACGCAAGCAAACACACAATATGAAAATAACATCCACATTAAACAAAACACACGTCTGTAGATATTTGGAATAAATATGTGAGTGACCGCTACATCAAAGAAAAGCTGCCTTTGGGTGAAATAACTGTACATCTCTGTATGCCAACAAAATATACAAGGAAATGCATGAGCGAGTCAAAATATTCACAGATTAAAAACATTTCAGAATCAATCGTCAATCAGAAAATTTCACACACTAGGAAAAGAAAGTCGAGTTTTACATACAGAAAGGATCAAAGAAGATAGAATTTTGAATGGATCGCTAGACAAACAACAAAAATAGCATTTTTTGGACGGCAGTAATGAAAACACACACAAACAAAACGGTAACTAGGAAAAAAAAGTCACATTGCAGGCAACCGGTTAACGACTTAGAACACACCCCCACCCCTTCAAAACCCTGTGAGCCTTCTCTCTCTTAAAAAAGATATTTCTTTACAAAAAAGGTAAAAGAAAAATCAGTACATAAATCGGTGTCCCCTAATCCTACTTGAAATCACGAAGCAAATCAGTCGGCAGTTACAAACTATGACAATAATGCCAGGTTATTCAGTTTTAAATTTCACCACAATTGCACAGATAAATTAACCTATCCTACATTGACAACAAAAGACTAGCACAGGCGTTTACCAATGACTTTAACTTGGGTTTTTTCTGTTTGTTTGGCTGCAATGGCTTGGTTCCCTGACTACCACTCTTCCTGAAGTAGTAATGAAAAAATCGGTGATCAGACTACATGTCTAGTATCTCTATGCACCAACAGGGAAATGAAATCCAGAACTGGCAATTTTATGACGTGCCTGTCACCTGGCTGGTGTACCAAAAACTGAATGTGTATGAGAAAGGCATGTTATCCATTCAAGACAAGGGTTGAAAATTCTCAGTTTCTCTGTTTTGGATGATTTCAAAATCTCCACTTCCCGTCAACAGGTGGTCAATCCAGCCACCCCTCTAGGATCAGTAGCTGGGAAACTTGCCCCATTACTCATATTTAGGAATCTTGCTGCATTTACTAGAACCCAGGCATGGAACTTGGACTTTGAAAAAAAAAGAAGAGGAAATTCCAGTCTTGACAAGAATTTTCATTGGCCTGAGTGTGAGGTGAAAAACGAGGAAATCAGCCAGGGAAAAGTTGTCTGAGGAAAAGAGGGCAAAGAAAGGCAAGGGAAACATTTCGGCGAAGTTTAGCGTCACTAACATCCCCTTGACATGTCTCTCAACTGAGTGAACTATCAATGTGTAAAGTGCATTCACCTTGTGCGACACACAAAACACTGAATCTTTACGCATGAGGATACTAGGTACCAGACAAACCTCACTGACTAACCCAATCCTGCTTCCGTGATCAGGAATGTACCATTTTGTTTTCCAGAGAGGGGTGGCACCCCCTCAGGCATGAGCCTACTGCTACACAAGGCTACCTGGTCACCCCTCACTTCAGATAGGTTCCAGCGCATTCAGATGCCTCCTCTTGCCTTTCTTGCCTTTGCCGGGTTGCAGCGCCTCCAGACGTTGGGGTCGTCGCACGGGCATGTCTGCGGGTGTGGTGGGTCCGTGGAGGTCCTTGGTTGATGACAGGGCCGCCGGTGGGCCTTTCAGTTGTTGGTGATCTATGCCAACAAAGAGAGTGACAATTCTTTGCAGTTAGAACACTTGCCAGTTCCCATCAACCCTTAAACTGAAGGCGGCAGTACAAGCTAATGTGAAAACACTTCTGATTGGATGAATTATCCTTCCAGCTTGTACGCATGCTATGTCAACATGAAGTAATCCCAAAGCCAATTCACATACAGAATACTACCTTACATCATCAAAACCACGAGGCCAAATGAACCAGTTAGGTGTCTGAAAAAAAAAAGAAGCAATTTGGGGACAAAGTAACTAATGTTGCGTTACTTCAACCATGCCCGGCGTGTGCGGGTCGGCGCACAGCCTTGATCGTGCGGGCTGACCGCGAGCTCATGTGCTGATGCTCTCGAATGACCAAAAACCTGCCATTCTGAGCACGCGCGGTTGAAATATCGAGATAGCTCAATTTTTAAGCATGAAAGTTACGTGGCGCATTCGGTAAGCAAAGGTACGAAGACACAGGCATAAACTCCACATGCTTGCATGCTAAAACTCTAGGACACGCTTTGACAGGGAAGTTGATTCAGAGCACTGACTTAGTCTCTAATAAAATGAAGTAGAGTAAATGGTAGGCTGACTTTTGAAAACAAATCTGAATATATGTATAAGACATGATTTGTATAAGACATTCAACAGTAACTCAGACAAGGCCTTCTTGGGTATACAAAATTATGCACATCTATGCAAACTGTATGCAAATATATTCGGCACAAAAAGGATGTCATGCACTCACCAACGGGAGGGATGTGGTAATTGGATTCGTGGGTGTGGCTAGTGCTACCCAACAGCTGATTGGCCCGTTTGGGTTTAAAGTAATCAACGGCCGCCTCATGCGAAGAGCGACTCAGTTTCTGGGAGAACAAAAAACACAAAAAATAAACCAGAAAGTGGAAAAGACTGCCGAAGGAGGAGGGAAAGAGGAGAATTGTACACTCAAATCTTGATGTGGAGAAGCACACTCATGAGAGTACGCTATTGTCCAAATTAATGGTAAAGGTCACAATCTCTTGAATTCTAGTTCTTTTCATTTTGTTTCCCAGTTGTTCTCAGCAGAGTTCAGGTTTATCCAAACAGCAGAAACTGTATCTAGAGAGAGTAGGTACAAACTTCAACCTTCGGAACCAAAATGGCCGTTCATTGGAACCAAAATGGCCATTTGTTGGAACCAAAATGGCCGTTCATTGGAACCAAAATGGCCGTTCATTGGAACCAAAATGGCTATCATTGGAACCAAAATGGCCGTTCATTGGAACTAAAATGGCCGTTCATTGGTACCAAAATGCCGTTCATTGGAATGAAAATGGCCGTTCATTGGAACCAAACTGGCCGTTCATTGGGCAGTGCGGTTACCATGTGGTAATTGTCCATGTGCACTGACCCATAATCTACCATTTTGGTTCCAACATCTGAGACTCTCATGTTGCCGCCCTCCTCTCTACAAACAGCTCTGCCCCCCCCCAGACTAGAAGCACCCCCTCAAGTGCCACAAGATGAGACAGGCTGCTGGGATTCATTTCATTTGATTGCCTGGGCATAGGTGGAAGCCAATTTGGGCATAGGTGGAAGCTCAGTGCGTCCTGCACCGGATGCACAAAATCCTATAGGCAAGTTCCCAGCAGAGGAACGTTGCTGCTTTGTGAAGCATGCCATCCCTTGTTCCCGCTCGGAGCAGATAAGAATGCGATTCTCCCAGTTAAAGGGAACCTTGTTTTACCCAGAGTTGACTGTCAAGGTAACTTTCAAAGGAGAAAGGAGCTTGGAAGTGATAGCTGAACATCGGAAAAGAGACGCAAAAAGAAAGCGGATCCAAACAGGACAATAAACAAACAGGCAGAATTGAGCAGAACACAGACAGCCGCACAAGTCACACAGGAATTCCACAGAAATAATGACAAGAGATGTACACAACATTTAGGTACGGTTGGCGCATGCAAGCCCTCAGAGTCCAAGATTTCCAATTCAAGAAAATGTATCATTTGTTGAACGTGACAAATGATCACATGCCTGGTTATGGTCACTAATAAGGACAGGCCTGTGCTAGTCGGGCCTGTCGTAGTAAATACAGTCTATCTCAAGTCCTTTCACAAGGTCAGTCTTAGGCGTGAGGGTGACCAACGACAAAAGAATGCTGATTTGAATAGCTTGTGAATTGGCCTAAGACTGAATGACATGTGATGGACTCAAATACAACCCTGTCGTTTCATTTATTATCACTTTTGTTATCCGTATTCAACAAGGACCTTTCCTCCCATAAAAGATGACTGGTAGTGACCAGAGGCTCTGTGTACTTCATGGGGATCGTAAGCCTTGAAGGAAAAGTTTGCTCAACTTAGTGACGTTGCACTAGAAATCTTCATGTGTTCCCTGGTAGCATCTGCGCTAAGCACAGCAACCGCGTTTCCAATGTAAATATCGTGTTCTATGGTAAGCGAACTAAATAAGAGTAAGCAAACTAAATAACGGTAACCAGCACCGTGAAATCGAGCCCAGTCCAATAAGTCTGCGTCCGGCTGAGTGCTCGGATTGAAGCAAGATGTAAAATTTTCGACGCTTTGTTTTAAACGAATATACATACACTGGCTATCAGGAGTGGGTCAAAACAGGATGGAAATCAACTTCAGGATGGTTTACCTGTAAGTATCTGTCCTCCTCTGGTAAGTCAGCGCCACCCATGGGGTAGCCATTCACGAGGTGACCCGGGGAGTGGTCTCGTCTAGCCCCTTGTGCTCCCGCGGGGGCGTGGTGGCCTGTTCGGCCGGGCATAGGGGGGCGTCCCCCGGGCATGATGCTGCCTGCTGCCGGCAGCTTGTCCCTGGAGACGACCAGCTCAGGAATCTTCCATCTGCGGGACCAGGAGCAGAGAGGGGTGAAATCAGGAAAGATAAAAAAGGTAGCAAACAGCCGTCTCTAAGCCAAATTTAATACAAGGCTTTCAGGCACAGCAGACCGACTCTCATACAGAAAAAAAAGAACACTAAGTTGAAACCATGGTGCATGATTTGATGATCCAAGGTCACTCTTCTGGAAACCACAACCCATAGGGTCACTTGAAGTAGCCATCAGGCCAATCGTTAACAGCTGTTCACGGCTGACGAGTTGATGAAAATTTGTCCAAAATTACCAGGGACAAATGCAGAGCTTCTTGTTGGTGAAGTAGGTGGTTCCCCACGTAACTTGTCTACAAATCTGTCCTACTGTACCTAAGTTGTCTTTATATCTGCTGTAGAAAGGGATGGACTGAGTGTCTCTGTCCTTATCAATCTGTCTGTCCGTCAGTCTCTCTGTCTCTCTCCTGTACTCACCTGCCGTCCTCCTCGTCCCAGCTGCTCTCTGCTTTCACCTTGTCCAGGTTGTAGTAGTTGCAGTCCCGTCGTAGGCAGGGCTGGACCTTGTCAAGGATCTGACCTAACATCTTGATCTGTTTCTCCTGCTTGCGGATGGTGTCTAAGTAATCGATGCGCTCGAACTCAAACTCGCTGTTCAGGTCAGTGATCTCGATCTCGGCAGCCCGGACCTGGCAAGGGAGATCCCAGATTCAGCATTTGCTCATTGGAATGGCTTCACAGGGTTACCCAGAATGCCTCTCTCTTGGCATCCTGACAATCTGATTGATGCCTCGGGTTCTTTTAGGCTAAACTATGTGACCTCACAGCCTTTGCTGGTTTTTAGTAATCTTTGGGGGATCAAACCATTCATGGCAGCTTTTACGCCCATGTAAACCAGACTGGTTCCCATCTGGATGAATGACTGATTTTTGCTTGACTACTTAAAGTTGCCATACCTTTTCTTCTGACTGTAGAACTTGCTCTTTTGAGGGTTCATGTCCCACTGGTATCAATCTGGACAAAACACTGATTGTTGCTTTGACCATGGGGTTACCGTACCTCAAAGACTCCAGCAACTTCATGTTATGAGGATGGTGTCCATACAAAAAGACTGTTACCTAACTTGCCATTGCACTGACTTTCACTGCGAGTACACCGGTTGCCATACTTTCTATGACTCCAAAAACTTTTTCCTA